GACCCAAACAGACGTCTACGCAAACGATTGCAACGGTTTGCAGACATTTGATGGATTACCCGATTGTGTGACCACTCATCTCAACATTACATTCAATCATATGTATGACCTCTTCGGGAGACTCGTTGTATATCGGTTACAACTGATCCAACAGTAGACTCATTATTGTAATGAAATTGTTTTATTGAAATAAACTTTTATATCATGTATTTTGTGAGGGGTTGAACCGTTTGGAGTATTAATAGGGTGGTGTCATATTGTGTCAATTGCAGTAATACCCCTGTTCTATATGACCTAGATCATATTGAGTGGTCACTGTACCATGGGCAAACTTTTAGAACATACCGGTCAATAAGTGCACCAATAAAATACAGTATGTAGTGAACACGTCATTCATGTCACGTGTCAAACATACCGTGTTGTGTATAATGAATTGATCCAGGTCAAGTTGTGGTCATTTACCGTTGTATTGACTTATTTGTGGACAATATGTTTGAATACAACCGATTGGATGCCAATCAGGCGAGGGATGAGATTCACATCAAATGCTTATATCGTGTGGTCTCTCAGTATGAATGGCTTATAGATGTCTATAATGTGGTAATTATTCATTCAATTCATACTGTATTACGTTATCAATTATAGCCTATAGTTAAAGCATGTTAATTATTAAATTATATAAATCATTGTTACCCTGGTACAATTTCTACACAGTTCTTATGGTTGTTGATATGAGGAAAAACCAAAAATTTCATTCTCAAGTGACCACTAAATGTTGTTTAGGAATTGATCCAGAATTAGATATTTTTAATATCTATGGTCATAGCAGTCAATACACACGTGCGAGCGCCACCTTGGTCACTCTGTCCCACCCCACCCCCAAACCTGTTAGACACTACCTAATGGCTTAGGATGAGATGGGATGTGCTTTGAATGTAAAGCATGGCTTAAATGTGATCACATCTGAAGTGTTTAAGTTTATGTGCTTTATGTTTGGAGGGTTTGGGTGGACATGGATTTCATACACAATCAAACTCCCCCCCCCCTCCCCTTCCAACACAAAATTAAGGGTTTTTTAATGATCAAAATTATATCTAATATTGACTATTAATACTGTATTGCAAAGTATTTGATTGTATGCGATGAGTGTGTGACAAGTGCTGAGAATTCATTTTAAAAGTAAAATATAGCAATTTATAGTATAATATTGTGTATCAATACTATTTACAAATAATTAGCTACAAAAAATAAAATTCATATAACAAGATAACTATCAAATTAATGTCAATTGATTAACAAGATAATAATTATTTGGATAATTGAATACATACAGTATTTGGTAACCCTTTTGACCCCGTATTCTTACTTTAGTGCAGTACACTGCAAATTAAGCAAAAGTAACTGATTGAGATGTGTATTAATGTACATTGAATTGACAATAATTTAGGTAATTGTTTTGTTATATTATATAACTTAAGTTATGATTCAAAAGAATATATTCTGAATATCATAATAAAATCAATGTGATAGGAAAGACCTGTTATAAACCTATACTACAGTACCGTACAGTATATAGTACTGTATATACGGTGGCACTATGTTCACGATGTTTTCGCCAGTACATTCATGAATCATTGATTTGATTGCAGTTAATGTTTTAAATTCACATTACTGTACAGTGCACAACAATAATATGTAATACTGTATTATATTCTCTATACCAGAGTTTATTATTAGAATTAATGTAAATATAATTACTCATTCAATATTGAACTTAAATGTAATATAGGATTACTTTGTGGACAACCACTGGTCAAAAGTTCCCAAATCGTGGTCTCATTGTCTCGAAGATTTTGAACTGAAAGACATACCAAATCTTTTATCAACTGATTCTGAATCTAAATTCAAATGTGTTTTACCACTGAGTTTGCTATCACTTCGTGCGACCTGTTCTGCCCTTCAGTTGACCCGCAAATGGAGTCCCGACTCTTCTATAATTTTCCCAAAAAGTCATTTTTCTGAAAGCACTCAACAATTGGATTCAGAGCTCAAAGACTCGAATCACCCGAACATGAAGACCGAGATTCTGAACCGACGGGTCAAGCATAAGAAAAGGCATGAAATTAGACGCCTTTCCAAACTGACCGATCATTTGTTGAAAGGGATGTGCGATTGCAAGACTATAGTGGACTGTGGGTCAGGTCAGGGACACTTGTCTCGCATTCTGAGCCTATGTTTCGGTTACGACGTGATCAGCATTGAAGGCAATGACGACAATGTGTTGGGCGCACAACACAAAGACATGAATACATTGAATAGTCTGAAGCGATACAAACTCACCGATAGATTGAATTTGGATTTTCCGAAAAAAGTCAATTGTTTGCTACAAAAGGACTCATCGATTAGTGAAGTGACACAAAACAGTGACAATCACCTGTTGTTAGGTCTTCACGCGTGTGGACCCCTCTCCACCATAATTCTCAATCAACTCAAAGAATGCAATTCTGCCAAAGCCTTGCTTTTAGTGAGTTGTTGTTACATGAAAATCGATAGCAATAGGTTTGCATTCAATACAATCATTCACTCTTACAAACACACNCATTGAGACCTTTGGCTCCAATACCTGATCCATAGAACTGAAGACTGCTTTCCTTCAAATCAATTAACGGACACTAATTGATGGTAAAGAGTAGATAATGAGTACTCGTTTGCAAACAATGGTTGATATGATAAAACCTTAACATTCTTGAGATCGATCTTCAGACTGATTTGATCACTGGTTTGACCCCAATATACAAAAGGACTTAAATATTTGTCATTCAGAGACGGATCCATTCAGTCATCCGATTATCTGTTCATTCATTGAATAAACACTTTAATTGCAATTTACAGACAAATAGTTGACACAAATGAACAACTCCCGCAAGACATCACCCATGAGGTGGTCACATGTCATCCACGCAACCAAATCATGGCTTACCTCTACTGGTGAGACACGCAATGGAAGTGTTGGAAGCGATCGGTGATACAGATAATGAGTGATGGCATCAAACTCTGTCCATACAATCAATACAGCAGTCAATGACAGACAGCAACACAATCACAACAACTCTGACATCAATGATGTGCTCACGAGTGGCAACACAGGCGACAGTTTGCCATTCAATGACCACTCTTCACATCAATCACTTCACCAATTGATGCCTTTCTTGACACCCGAAGTACTTGTGGTGACCACTCATGTCACTAATCGATTGCCAAGATATTGAACTCAAGTAATGACTAAAATGCTAACAAATGATACAATGATGTGATAATTATATTTGATTTGATGGTAGAGTGAGTTCAGTGCTCAACAAAGATGTCAAACAGTTTGGCAAACAGTTCCTCATCGATGGCAAGGAAGACACCTCTTGGAACTCAGACCAGGTATGCGAC